TTTTGGTCGCCGTAGAGCCTCGACTCCGGCTGAGCCGACATTATTATTATTTCCTCGCCGTTGAGCCTCGACTCCGGCTGAGATGACGTCCATAGTTTCTCGCCGTAGAGCCTTGACTCCGGCTGAGCCGACGTCCCTATTTCGCTCACCGTCGAGCCTCGACTCCGGCTGAGATGACGTCCATAGTTTCTCGCCGTAGAGCCTCGACTCCGGCTGAGCCGACGTCCCTATTTCGCTCGCCGTAGAGCCTCGACTCCGGCTGAGATGACGTCCACATTTTCTCGCCATTGAGCCTCGGCTCCGGCTGAGTGGAAGTCTATATTTTTCTACGTTGAGCCTCTGCTCCGTATTGCCCTACCGTCGAGCCCCCGCTCCGGCCGCCAAAAAGAAATTATCACAACAAATAAAAATCCGAGCATCAACTCGATACCGATGTAAGCATAGCGACACTCGGTCTAGCTGATACCCCGTAATACACCCAAACCCCACGTCTGGTTTGGTCGGGGTTGAAGCTCGTCAAACGTCACTTCAGCTAACATGATTTGGCGGGTCCTGATAATTACCGAACACTCATTCAAACAATTCGGTTGGGGCCATTCCATAATCGGACTCTGACGAAGTCCGGTAACTTCCATTTTATTTCCCGTACAGCCCTAAAAATGTGTTGAGTTCTGCGAAGTTATCTGAAAACTCGCATAATCGACTCACACTTGTGGCTGAGAGTCTTATAAATGATCAAAGTGGAATTGGTCGAAAATCGCTGAATTTCATACAGCAAAATTGGTTATACACTTGACTGCAGCATATGTCGGTTCTCCATAATCCCGACCGTCCATCATATATATGATTATGCCGGCGAAGCATAACACCTGCCGGCAGAATATGTCAGACTCGACAAAATACCGAGGTATCTTTCTTTCTCGCACTACGCATCAGCATACTTTGTAATGCATTCATACATTCATACGCGCGTCACACATACATTCATTACATATGCGCATCAGACATACATCTTGACGTCCAACTCAAACTAATACAATAAACCAAACGCCTTCATCTGTTTGGGCCCACACTGGCTAGGCAAAGTCAATAAGACCTTTCCGGCTGGGAAATATGCGAAAGAAAATTCATTACACCGAGTTCTTCAACTCGGTATGATAAAGCCTTTATTTACACCAAGTTATTCAACTTGGTAAGGGTGATTCCCATGCCTTTACCGAACTCTTCAGTTCGGTAGATAAACTTTTATTTTATTTTATTTTTACCAAGTTCTTCAACTTGGATTAAAAAGTCCGTTCGTAACCGAGTTCTTCAACTCGGGGGGTACATATATCATATCGATAACATCTTTGCATAAAGATCGATAGCAAATACAAGGGGCCCGAGTGCCCGCACCAGCTCAAATCTACACTATTATGATCATTCCAGACGCAAATTCATCCAACGCGTCCTATTACACACGAAAATCGGGTACCGAATTACCCTACCAGGCCAACCAGGCCCCATTCATATGTCATTTTCACATAGTTGACAATCCACGCAGTCAACTCCACTCGTCAGAACAAAAAAAAAGATTACCGTCAATGCGACAGGCCAAAGCCTAAGCACGGCCAGAAATTTGGCTCCACGGGTCCCAAAGTACCCGGCCAACATCGATACATTATTTATCACAGCTAAATTGGCTATACATGTGACTTCAGAACAGTTCTATTCAGAACATGTCCTAAAGTCAGGGGCCCACTGTTAATACCCAATTTTGGCCTCGCCTATCAAAATATTACACGTGGATACGTAATATATTAATTGTTTTATTTTATGGCCCAAAAATAACACCGCTTGTAATAATAACGGGCCCACCAAAAATATATATATAAACCCCAATGATGGACGTCAGATAGATAAGTCTGAGGGGCTATTACTTTTTTCCTTCTCCTACTCATTTTCTCTGAGATAAAACAACTTACATCACAGCTTTTTTTGAGCTTCTTTCTTCTTCAATCTTTGTACTAATTTACACAAAAATCACATACAAAATTCGAGAAGTTCAGTATATTCGTTATATATAAACAATTTTCCGAATACCCCATGTTGATACAAATTCGCATATCAACACAGCTCTCTTCATTTCTCTCACATACTGACTTGAGCGTCGGAGGCTTTACGCCGGAAACCCCTTCGGCGTTGAGTTCTTGCAGGTTCTCTTGCGGTCCAGTGGCAATTTGAAGGCGACGACGATAGATCTGAGCCCATTCTCATCGGTTCGTTCTAGATCTGGGCCCGTTTCCATCGGTTCACTCCAGATCTGGGAAGAGACCCATCAAGTTTGAGAATAAATTATTTGGGTCGAATGAATAAATACGTGAACAATATAAATATATATATATATATATATATATATATATATGGTTAAAATGCAGCCACTTTTCTTAAAGTGAGGACGTGTCATTTTTAACCACAAGATTTGGTACATCATGTGTGACCAAGATTTACTCTTTTTTTATTATTTTAATTATTTAAATATTATTTTGACCCGTTGACTCCGGCATTGACCGTTGACTTCCGGCGAAATTCGTTGACTTCCAGCGTTGACTGTTGACTTCCGGCGTTGACCGTTGACTTTTGGGGTTGACTCCGACGTTGACCGTTAACAACTAACCTTCCAACTAGGTTAGTTCTCTGTAGTTGCTAGGTTAGTCCTCTGTAATTGTTAAGCTATTTCTTTGTAGTTGCTAGGTTAGTTGTCTGTAGTTGCTAGATTAGTTGTCTGTAGTTGCTAGGTTAGTAGTTGCTATGTTAGTTCTCTCGCCCATCCGATTATATCAAAGCAAAAAGACTGACCGCTAACTACGACTTTCACTAGTTGCTATGTTAGTTCTCTGTGGTTGCTAGATCAGTTGTCTGTAGCTGCTAAGAGCTGTCCGCATTTTAAGAGCTGTCCTCATTTGTTGTTTACTAATTCTGGAAACTATTTAAACATTTTATGTTATGTTTTAAGGATACAATTTAGGTACATCTATATATATAGGGATTGGTTCAAACGCGACCACTTTCTTAAAGTGATAACGTGAAACTCATTTTTAGCCACAAGATGTGGTACATCATGTGTGGCCAAAATTTACTTTTTTTTTATTATTTTAATTATTTAAATATTATTTTGACCCGTTGACTCCAGCGTTGACCGTTGACTTCCGGCGAAATCCGTTGAATTCCGGCGAAATTCGTTGACCATTGACTTTTGGCGTTGACTCCGGCGTTGACCGTTGACAACTAACCGTCCTACTAGGTTAGTTCTCTGTAGTTGCTAGGTTAGTTCTCTGTAATTGATAAGTTAGTTGTTTGTAGTTGCTAGGTTAGTTGTTTGTAGTTGCTAGGTTAGTAGTTGCTATGTTAGTTCTCTCTAGTTGCTATGTTAGTTTTCTGTAGTTGCTAAGTTAGTTGTTTGCAGTTGCTGTCCGCATTTTAAGTGCTGTCTCATAATCCGCCCCCTATATATATATATAAATGTTTGATTATTATTTAAATAGTAACTATTTACCAAAAAAAATATGTTGTTTACTGATTCTGGAAACTATTTAAACATTTTATGTTATGTTTTAAAGATACAATAGAGGTACATCTATATATACTATATATATATATAAACATATATATATATATATATATATATATATATATATAAATGATGTTATTACATTATAAACAATATTGACAACAATAAATATTTGAATAAAATAGGGGGTGATTGTTTATGAATTTATCTAGAAATTAATTGGTTTTTTTAACTATGGTTAATTTTGAAAAAAGTTGGTATGATTAGTTGTTAGTGGATATATAAAATAATATTTAAAATAATATAATTAAAGTTGATATGATGTAAAAGTAAGAGAAAAATAATTGGAAGTGATTGTTAGTTAAAATTATGTGAGTGGACGAATAGTGAATTAAAATTGATGTGATGTGTAAGAATGATTAGTTGATATTATTTAACTATACTGAGGAGATAGTGGAGTTGAATTAAATTTTAGTTTTGATTGGTTTTTTTGGATGAATTGATAAACAATCACCCCATAATATTTGAATAGTATGATGAACCAAAATAAAAAGATTATTTTGTGTATTAAAAAATAAATATATAAGTTAAAATGTTATTTATATTAATATAGGTGGATCAATGGGCTGATATATTGTTAAAATAAAATTTTACAAAAATGCTTATATTACGAAATCCCGTGCATCGCACTGAATTTTCACTAGTTTTGTTTGAACGAGTTTGAGAATGAATTATTTGGGTCGGAGATGTCTTTAACAAAATCGTCTTTTAGAATATTAAGCAAATAAACCCTCTTCATCTTCCATGAATTAGGAACGAAGTAGGTAGACCATAGGGAGAGGGTTAAAGACTAAGCCTATGTTTGGTTCGGGGGAAACGGAAAAGAGGGGAAGAGAGGGGAGAGAAAATTTTATTTCCCCTTGTTTGGTTCAAGTTTTTGTAAGGGGAGAGGTTTAAATTTTCTCTTCAATTCCCTCCTCCAAGGAAAAATATGCTCCCCTCCAAAAGTGAGGGGATTTGGAGGAGAGGGAAAATTTTAACAACAAATTACTCTTTTGACCTTACTGTAAATTATTTTTTTTTTTGTTCCTTACATCATTAAGGATATATTTGTCATTTTAACATTATTTTTCCTCTCATTCCATCTTCTAACCAAACAAGTTAATCATTTTCCTTCACCTCTCCTCCTACAAAATTCATCCAAACAAGATAAATTATTTTCCCTCCCTTTCCCCCTCCCATCCCTTCCATTAAATTCCCTCCCATCTCCTCCCCTCCCGTCATTTGAACCAAACATACCCTAAAAGGAGAGGATTCTGCTCGTGAGCGTAATGGTATAACCCTGCCTGACTGCGAGACCGACTGGTGCGAACAGAGACGAAAATCGGCCCTAGAGATCCGTGAGTCCCGTGTGAAATTCCTTAATCCTCATCCCTCTGAAAATTCTCCCATGAAAATCCCCTCAATTGTTCGTTCACTCTATGCTCCCCCACTTCACCTACGAAAAAACTCACATTTCGTTAAATGTAGACCGTTTCTCGACGCTCTACTCCGGCCATTTTCTACTGCTTTGTCCGAAAGCGAAGGCTTGAAGGAATTCACGGAATACATGGATAACCTCAAGAATTACGAAAGAATCGGCGTTCCCAGAGGAGCAGGTACCGATTCTGGCGGTGGGTTCGATTTGGGTAGGATGGGTCGGTTGTTGCACTGTTTGGGCAACCCTCAAACCAAGTTCAAGGTTAGTTTTTTATTTGAATTCACGAAATGTTTCCATCTTCTGTCTCAAAGGGACTCGAGAAAACAAATGAAATCGAGTTTGACAGTCAGTTTGTTATTCCTTTTATGTGTTTGCACCTTAAAAGTTGGTAAATTTGGAAATAGAGTTCAAGCTTGGTTGTCAAGTCATCAAGTCAAAACGAGCTCTTTTGAATTCAGTAGGCTGCGTTGCCAGGTTGTTATTTGAGTGTTTTTCTGGTTTTGAGAAGTTGTTATGTATGGCTCATGTTCTTGATTTGAGGAATACTAAAGTGGTTTTTGCCCACTATCTTCGTAAATTGCAGCTTACTGAATGTTATCCTCAGAATAACAGTGAAGCTTGAACGTGCATGTTATCCTCAGAATCTCTTTTAATGTTTTGGAACTCTCTTTGGTTTCTTTTCAGTGAAGGATTTGAGAGGTTAAGTTCGTTAGTTGTATATTTGCACATTGATTTGGCAAGTTTGAATAGGTTTAAGTTAGAGGGGAGTTCAAACCTTCCACATCCACTCGGAGATATTTTCCTCCATCATATTGATGGATTTCAGATAGCTCCATATTATTTTCTTGCAGCCAAATTACTTCTTGAAAGGCAAAGAAACATTTTTTTATTCCAGAAAACTTTGAAATTTCCTTACGAGTTACATGGAAATATTCACATTAATGTCCCTTTATGGATTCAAATCCATGGGATAAAAAAGACCCTTTCCATTCTTTGCATGAGTTTTAGATTTTCGAGTTCCTGTGACTAGTAATTAAGCATGTAATCCAACTTGTACTTTGGTTCTTCCTTTTCTTTTGGTTTCAATTTGGAAATCTAAATGAACTTTTAGGCTTTTCATATTGCTGGCACAAAAGGGAAAGGATCGACAGCTGCATTTCTGTCGAGCATTTTGCGTTCAGAAGGATATTATGTTGGTTGCTATACTAGGTGGGAAATGAATGGAAATTAAGTTATCATAATTACAAACCTTTTGGTTGCTTATGTTACATGTGAATAATGACCAGAGGTCTTTCTTTCTTCTTTTTAAACTTTGACCAGTCCACATATACGAACGATTAGAGAGCGTATACTACTGGGACGAGATGGAGAGCCAGTATCAGTGAAGGCGTTAAGTTCTCATTTCCACAAAATAAAGGAAGATCTTGAAGCAGCAGTAAGGCATGAAAAGGGGCATCTCAGTCATTTCGAGGTATACTTTGTGGGTTTGTATTTCTCTTGTTGGCTTATTGATTTTGTAATGTTTCTTCATACGGTGTGTGGCTACAGATCTGTTATTTAGTTTGTTTTTACATAATGTGCTACTTCAGATTGTCAGTTGTATCCTTTATGGAAATGGGAAACCAATTCGAAGAATTTCTGATACAAATATTCAATTAGTTCAGACTTGTTTTGTATTGAATTGGGACCAAGACAAAAAAAGTTCTTTTAGTCAAGAAGCTCATGCTTCCTTTATTGAAATAAGGTCGAATGATTTGATTCGACCATTCTTAAGAATTGACTTAGTGAAATCCATTCTCATAGGTTATTCTGATTTCACTTACTTTTAATTGATGCTCTTTTCATATGAATTCAAGGTTTTCACCGCACTAGCATTCAGCCTATTTGCAGAAGAGAAAGTACAGTTTGTGGTCATTGAGGTAGATTCTCTTGATGGTCTCTTTCACAAGCAATGCAGTTATTCTATGTTACTTTCTTTCTTTCTTTTTTCCTTTTTTGGTGATAAAAATTAGATGTATTATATACTATTCTACTAGTTGGAGAGAGCTTTGAAGTCTCACTTAACTTGCTTAACCAGTTTGTGGTTTAAGATGGTCGCTTGTTTGTTAATCAGTTTAGTATTTTCAGTGTTCTCCACCTAAGCAGACTTGATTTGCCAATTGGTTCATTTCCCCTTTTGTATCTCTCTTCGCTTTTAATGTGACACTGTCAGTACTATTCTTATTCGCCTAAAAACATATAGGCTGGATTAGGTGGCGCTCGGGATGCAACAAATGTACTCACCTGCTCTGAACTGGTGGTATCAGTTATTACAAATATAGGGGCCGAGCATCTAGCTGCACTGGGCGGCTCCTTGGAGAGTGTGGCAGTTGCTAAATCAGGAATTATCAAAGAACGGCGTCCAGTTAGGTGGTTCTTGATACGCATTCTTACGTACTTCATATTTGCTCTACGATATAGGGATAATCACAAAAAGGATCTAGAGGTTTTGAAGTATTATGAAAGAACTCGGGAATGTTTTAAATTAGAAAAAGAGAAAAAATAAAGCGTTATTCCTACGTGTATTTTTCACCATTCATAAGAAAGGAGGAATTCCGCAAACTTAAAGAGAAGTTATTCCCTTAAATTGAATACAAAATTTCATTTCAAGGTTTATTTGTTTTTTTTTTTCCTTCAATAAATTCGAATCTTATATGTTTTTTTGCAATTGCTCCAAATCATATGTGTTTATTTCTGTCCCATTGTCTGAACATCACTCATTCTTTCTCTTCTCTTTGTACAGCTGATTTTAGGTGGCCCATTCCTACCTCACATTGAGCGCATAATCCGTGATAAGGCATTGTCCATGAGTGCACCAGTAGTATCAACATCTGATCCTGGCAATAGAAGTGTCATCAAAGGCTTTTGTAGAGCACACGAGATGCCTCGTCAGTTATGCGACATCTTGCTCCTTATTGAGAGGGACATCCATATGGTGTGCAATTCTGTTATACCATTTGGTTCCATGCCCAAAATTGGCTCTACGTGCCACTTATTTATATAATTTCTTTTCATGTGCAGTTTTAACATGATATTCATTTGTCTACCAGTTCATTGAATTGTTTGATGTTCGATTACGCATGCTCGGGTCACACCAGCTTCAGAATGCTTCCACTGCTACTTGTGCAGCACTTTTCCTTCGTGATCAAGGTGGGGAAGAAGAGTTTTGTTATGATTGATTTTTGTTATATAGATTTTCGGTCCATGAACATTTAATTTTATTTGTAAATCGTTCAAAAGTACTCTGGTTAGTCAAAAGGAATAGTTTCATAACAACAACCCCCCAAAAAAATGTTTATCAATGAAATTTATACTTTAAGAACTTAATGTACCTGCACGAGATTTTTTGGGGATGGTTACACTACCCCTAAGCTTTGGAAAGAACCTGGAGAAGTTTCAGGACTACACAAACCTCATAAATGTGTTTTTGTCTTAAATTTAGGTGGGCACAATTGTGGTATTTTAAATCTTTTGATGAACCTATATGTGGATATTGACACGTTTCTCGCTTATGAAAGGGAAAAATATTTGAGAGGAACAAACCTCTAACTGGTTTTCTGTAATTTCAATATTTATCTGGCTTTTTTTTTTTTTTTTTTTTTTTTTTTTTTTTTTTTTTTTTTTTTTTTTTTGTAAATGTCCATGTCTCAAGGTGGTTTTTGTACTACATCAATTTACATATTTATTATTTATGTACTTAATTATTTGGTGAACTTTGATGTTACTGAATGATATTACCTTAACATGATGATATTCACTGTAATGAGGTGAATAAGTGGGTTTGTTACTTCAAAACAAACCTCCAGTTTGAATGCATCGGGCCTTTATACTTCATTGTTCTTTTTTCCTTTTTCACTGTTCAATTCAGGATTTGAATTGTTTTAATCATAACTTAATGTATGTCAGGTTGGAATTTGTCAGATGCATCCATTCATGCTGGTTTAGAATCCGCAATTTTGCTTGGTAGAAGCCAATTCTTAACATATAAGGAAGCTAAGATGCTCGGACTTCCTGGGGCAAATATACTTCTGGATGGAGGTCTGATTCAATTTTTTTTGAATTATTAAGATTTTTCATACTAAGACGTGGGGCTTATTGAAATTAGAAAATGTATACATGAAGGAGTTCGTGTATTCTACCAGAGTTTTCAAAATCATAACTTTATCTGAATTAAATCCATCATATTTCAGTTAGTTACTAATTCGACTGGTGAAATTTGATCCAAGTACAAAAGAACTTACTTATATTTCAAGATACAAATACCTTCTTAAGGTATTACAAGCAATTGAATAACATACAAGGTTTGCATTTTTTTAATAAATATCTTCATACAGCGGGCGCAATTTGCAAAATAGAAGCAAAAATTAAATGAGCATTGTGAAATAGAAACAAATATCAATTGAGCATTTGTAATTTTTTTTTTTTTAATTATTATTAATCTCTTTACTAATTTACTGTAATTTGAAGAACCGAAAGGGCTCACTGATATATTTATTACTCCATGTCCGCTAGATGCAAAATACCAGCTCATCACCAAGCCGAAGATTTAAGAAAGTCGATTTATACTATTTTTTACCATGTTTTTATACAGTTTGTTAATGCTCATTGAATTTTTCATACTTCAGCCCATACCAAGGAATCTGCACAGGCTTTGATGAACATGATTAAGATGGCCTTTCCAGATATGAGATTGGTTCTTGTGGTTGCTATGGCGAATGACAAAGACCATTTAGGCTTTGCCAGAGAGATACTTTCAGGTTATCTGCTATAAGCCTTTATTGCTCTGTTAACTAGGGAAGTTGAAAATATGTTGAACAAGTCCTCGGAAATTCCCCATATTACAGACAGAGACCATTTAGGCTTTGCCAGAGAGATACTTTCTGGTTATCTGCTATAAGCCTTTATTGCTCTGTTAACTAGGGAAGTTGAAAATATGTTGAACAAGTCCTCGGAAATTCCCCATATTACAGACAGAGACCATTTAGGCT